CCCCCTCCCCCCCCCCACACACACACACACAAAATAAATGCATCGTTTTATATTTCAGGTGAGTTGGATTTTTTTTTAATAAAACTGAAAAACGGATGCAAAGAAATTAATAAATACTGAATGATGGAAAGGCGGATTCCCAGTGGGAAAGGGTCGGTGGGATTGGATTGCCTTCAGGTAGATTGGACGGTTTAGCACGTAATGCATTAATATTTAGCTGCTCACTGAGATCTGGAACAGTCACAACGCACAAAACCGTCTCTCTTCGGTGCAATTGGGGCAGAAAAACACACACACACACACACACACACACACACACGACGTTGAAATGGAAATGGAATATTAAAATGTCGAGTACGAATTATTGGGAAATAAGGATTTTTTTTTAATAAGACACGAGTTGACATAAATTGATTTGGGGGCTGACGTTCCTTTCACTTCTGGTTGACGATATTTAACTGTCGCAACTGTTGGCGACTGACACGTTCGGTCCCGACTCACCAGCGAATTGCGCATTAAGGGCGCAACGTGGAAGCGGATGAAGTGTCCTGTTATCGCCCTTAAGGGGGGGAGGGGGGGTGGGGGTGGGGGGGGGGGGGAATCCACGTGCATTTTTATCTCGAACGATGCCTTCCCGTTAATGGGAGAGAGAGAGAGAGAGAGAGAGAGAGAGGGGGGAACAAAATGACACAGCGCAAGTGGTTAATTTTATTGTGCAAAAATAAGGCATTTCGCTGAGGAGCGCAGACACGAACACTCTGGACCCGTCAGTCTGAAAAGGCATCACTTCCAAACTCTTTTCAGTCGTCTCTCTCTCTCTCTCTCTCTCTCATCTCTTTTGTCCGCAACTACTTGTGGCTGTGTCTATTTTTTTATTTCCTAACAAAAAATCCTGTCATTCTCTCCCCCCTCTCCCCCCCCCACCACCCACCCACCGATGAAAGGATCTCTCCATCATCTGACAGTGTTACCCTCTCTAAAAAAAAACCACGCGGGCGCTTCGCAAAGACGGGTCAAAAATAGCTGAAGTCACCAGTAAAACTCCAGAGGGCTACACCTGGGATTGAACCCGAGCCGCTGAGCTGCCCCGACACCAACCCGAACTGAGAGCGAGGAGTAGCAGTCAATCCGACTGCGTCCTTCACTGTATCACATCCACAGTGTCCTCCCAACAAAGCATCTTTGACGCTTGTCTTCATAATATTGTTCCCACAGATAAATAACGTGTGTGTGTGTGTGTGTGTGTCTGTGTGTCTGTGTGTGTGTCTGTGTGTGGGTCTGTGTGTCTGTCTGTGTGTCTGTGTGGTGAGACCTCGGGCCATCCTGATATGCCACATTCTGGCAATAATACAATTTGATCTTGAGAATGAGTTGGGACTGAACATTGGATAGTGTTGGTGTTCATTCCCGGACCGTAATGATGAGTGTTTTCCTCTGACTGTGGCTCTCATCAAACCCAATAACACGACACAGGCAACAGAGCGACCGGGAAAAGAAAAAAAGTTTGACCCGTTTTCAGAAAGCTTTGTGTTTCCCCCCCCACACACCCCCTCCCCCCACACACCCACCACACCCACCAAAAAATAAAGGGACCGAACGAGCGCTACAGTCGTTATCAGTAACGAATGAATCGATCAATAAGTAAATGGTCACTTCTGAGGTCCGTCAATCCGTGTGGATGTATCTTCTACCAATTGTTCGGCGCTCGGGGTACAGATCCATCCCCTCCGCTCCCCAGAGAAATCGGATCTTACCCCTATCATTGGGACCTCATCAACAACTGCTCCACTCCGACGTATCACTGGGTCAGAAATTCCCCCCATTTCGCGAGAGCGAAATTCGGATACCTACGATATATAATAATAATAATACATTATACCATCAGCCGCGTATCTTTGGTTGTGTAATCTGTGTTGTGTGTTTAATTTGTGGTGTGTGTGTGTGTGTGTGTGAGTGTGTGGGGGGTGTGGGGGGGTTATAGATTATCATGTTATGCAATACAATGCCACTTTTGTTCAGAACCAATGTCAATGATCCACGTTCCTTACTCCCTGTCCCTCGGCTGTGGAAGGGTTAAGCCAGTTAAAAAGCAGCAAAAAATAAATAATGGCGAGGCTCTCCCACTCTAAAATACACACATCATCTACAAAAGAAACTTGGGCGCCCCCAGCAAACTAAAACCCTTAGTTATCTGTGCAGACAAACTGGACAGTCGGGAATGCTCCCTGGACTCATCTGCCTTGGCTTCTAACTCTGTGTGTGTGTGTACATATATATATATACATAATACTGTCACAACAACTGAGGCGTCCTATGTATTGTAAAACTGCTTCAGGTGACCCTTGTCCGTCCCTCTTGTACTTTAAAATGAGTCAAAACATCTATCAACACATTGTCTCACACACTCTTGTTTCCTTTGAACTAAAACGTTAGAGCAAACGCTGGGAATTTGAAGCGACTGAGGAATATCATTCTCCATCCAGCAACACCGGGGCCAGACTTTTGCTGTGTTGGACTGTGTTTTCTGGGCTGTTCGATGTAGTTTTCGCAAACGTTTTTTTTTTAGAAAGAGGCGTTTTATGTAGTAGGCGGGATTTTGTAAAGGAAGGGGGGAAAAAAAAAGTTACAATAAGTCTTCGTCCGGTGATCTTAGTGTTTCTTGACATCACTTTCATGGACCGAAAACAACCCCAAACTCATGTGTCACCTCCTGGACGATGGCTCGTTTACGAACAGCAAAGTGCGTGAATGGATCAGTGGAGAGAAGGTGGTTCGCAGGGAAAGAGTTACACAAAAGATTACTTGGGGGGCTGCTTCGGTTTGTCGCGTTATATCATTCAGTGAAAGAGTGAGGAGGAACACAGAGAGGAGAGAGAGAGAGACAGAGAGAGACAGAGAGAAACAGAGAGAAACAGAGAGAGAGAAAAGATCCTGTCTCTTTCATTTTGTGTGTTATTCCCTGTACAGCAATGGAAGCAGTCAGCAGACAGGTGCACAAGTCACCGAGCCCGACACACACTGGTCTCTCAGGGACTATGGACAATTGTTTCCATTTCATAAACACTCCCCTAAGGGCAGCTTCACATTTCCCAGGCAATTATTTATTAAATGGTGCATGATAGCTGATTTAATTTGTATTTGCGAGGTTTTTTTTTTGTCATACTAACAGGACGCGTGAAAGGAAGGAGAGTGTGTGTGTGTGTGTGTCTGGGGGGAGTGGGGGGAAGGGATGGGGGTGGGGGGGGGGGTCTATTTTTGGTATTTAGAGCAGCTGAGAAATATCACGATTATTTTTTTTGTTGTTGTCGGTGTTTAACACACTGACAAACAACATACTGCGCGCTGTGTTTGATCTGCATAGGCAATTTCCCAGGCGGTGAGCGAATCCAGCCATACTACCCAGAAATAATAATTTGGCTTTTGTGAATCAAAGTGCTTCGCTATCTTAATCTTTAACGGGTGACGAATGGCGCTTGTATCATGTGAAGTGTTATCCGCTAAATACAACAATTAAAATAACATCCTATAGAAGGAATTTGTGAGCTGATTAATTGAATAGCCTTTCTAAGGGAGAGCTATTGTGACTGTGCAATAGGTAGTAGGATGCAGGGGGTGGTGGTGGTGGTGGGGGGGGGGACACAAGCAACTAACACAATAATAATTTAAAAAAAGGGAAATGCATTCAAATAAAATAAAAAGCCTCACCCCCCTCCCCCCCCCCACACCCCCACCCCCCAACCCACACAAAAAAAAACCTCTGTGTACAAATCTGAATGCGAAAATAAAAGCAAAAGCGATCGCTGCTTGTGATGATTAATTTATCATATTTAAAAGTCCTCAAGTTGATGATTGCAAAAAGGTTTGGTGGATGGAGCCTTGTAGCTGGTAACATGATCGAATCTGAATTTGATTTATAGACTGAAGAATGTAGTCTATTTAACACCAACCGATTTCAGGACAACAAAAGCTCCCTTTATTTAACCCCCTTTTCCCTTCACCCAGCCTTTTCAGACTCGTTTTTCATATATATAGATATATATATCTATGTGTAAAAAAAAGTAAGCGACAGATATTTATTTTATTTGTGTATATATATATATATAGTAGAAAAAAAGCGTCTGGAAATGTCAGTTGCTGTTAGGTCCAGAGCCAGGGCTCGCTGTAAAAGCAATTGCCAGGCTGCGTTGTCATTAAAAAAAAATACTCCTAGTTTGCAAAACGATCTTTCACAAATAATGAAGGCGTGAAGTGTTTTGTCGTTAATCGTCCTCTCCTCTTTGACAATAGTCCCATCTTTCCTTTCTTTTCTTTTTTCTTTCTCTCTCTCTCTCTCTCTCTCTCTCCTGTGGGTATTATTTCCCCTCTCCCTGTCTTGATTGGATGCTCAGGGAGTTTAGTGAACGCCTAGTTATTATGTCAGTTTGCGTGCAGACCAGACGCACTTGACAAACCGGGGGGGGAGAGCTTTGAACTTCGCCGCTCTTTGGCTGCGATTCACCAGCATTTCCTCATTCCCATCCAGGTGCTTGCAGGCTAGACACCTCCAGGAAGAGAGCTGAAGCAAGCAGGAGAGAGAGAGAGAGAGAGAGAGAGAGAGAGAGAGAGAGAGAGAGAGAAAAGAAAAGAAACATTAATCATAAGCCGAAGAACAAGAAGAAGAAGAAGAAAAAGAAGAAGTGGAAGAAGAAGTGGAAGAAGAAGAAACACACCACTAAAAAGCTGACCATCAACTGGGCAACTGAAGAACCCAGAAACCTCTTGCGATCTCTTGAGTTGCACCCAAGCTTTTCCTACAAGGGTGTTCGCCTCCTGGTACAGAAGAGGTTTGGAGTGACCGGATTGCTTTTCTTCTTTTTTTGGACTGGAATGATTTGTTGAGGACGATTTTTAGCGACAGGTGAGCTGTTGAGCGGTGTGTGATTTCCAAGTCAACCGTTTTCCCTTTCCCCCCCTCCCCCCTCCCCATCCCCCCCTCCCCCCCATCCCCCCACCCACCCCTACCTCTCCCTCCCGCAAGATGTCTAAGCCTGCAGATCACATCAAGAGACCTATGAACGCTTTCATGGTCTGGTCAAGGGGGCAGAGGAGGAAGATGGCCCAAGACAACCCCAAAATGCATAATTCTGAGATTAGTAAGAGACTGGGCGCCGAATGGAAGTTACTTTCAGAGGCTGAAAAAAGACCATACATTGATGAAGCCAAAAGGCTGAGAGCACAGCACATGAAAGAGCACCCAGACTACAAGTACAGACCCAGGCGCAAGCCCAAGAATCTCCTGAAGAAGGACAGGTACGTCTTTCCTTTGCCTTACCTTGGGGACACTGATCACTTGAAGGCTGCAGGACTGTCTGTGTCTGCAACTGATTCGCTGCTGAGCGCATCGGAGAAAGCTAGGGCTTTCCTGCCCCCATCAGCACCTTACTCCTTGCTTGACCCAAGTCAGTTTGGCTCCAGTGCTTTACAGAAGATGACCGAGGTGCCGCACGCCCTGGCCACCACCACCTTGCCCTACGCATCCACCTTGGGATACCAAAATGGGGCATTTGGGAGTTTGAGTTGCCCAAGCCAGCACACACATACCCATCCATCACCAACCAATCCTGGCTACGTAGTTCCCTGTAACTGTACCGCTTGGTCCGCCTCTAGTTTACAACCACCCGTTGCTTACATACTTTTCCCTGGGATGACGAAGGGTGGGCTAGACCCCTACACTTCAGCACATGCACCTGCAATGTAAGCCAAAAAGAGAGAGCGAGAGAGAGAGAGAGAGAGAGAGAATTATCTATGAACTTGAATTCAACATTGCATGTTCAATACACACAACAAAAACTGAAATCCGAAATGATCAAAAAATGCTGAGCCTGGAAGGGATTCCAACAGAACTGTCAAAGAATGAATGAATGAATGAATGAACAGTACTGAGATAGATTCCCTCGACTCCAGCACAAAGAGCCGCAATGTAAGCCAAAATAATATAATACTAAATAAAAAAAAAGACTGCCTCGGATCTTAAATTCTACATTGCATGTGACACTAAGGACTCCAAAAAAAAAAAAACTTTTCCCGAGTCTGATGCAGACTCTTTAAGAAATATAAAAAAGGGAACTTTGACATGGATTTTAAAACAAGAAGCATCTATAAGCATGACTTTTTTGGGGGATATGTTGCTCAAGGCAGGTTACAGAACTGTAAAATTGTATATGTTCTCTTTTAATCGCTGCCACTTTAAAAAAAAAGCAGCTTTGATTTTATTTATTATTATGTATATTGAGTCTATAATACAATGTTGTCTTTTTTTTGGGACCTGAACTCTTTAAGTCCTTAAATTTACTTTGCACAACATTTAAAAAAAAACCTGTATTAAATGTTACCATCAAACAGTAATAAGTAGCCATTTTCCTAATTTCAAAAGCATTTTGAGAAATAACGTTTAACATTATGATAAGGGGGTATTGTTTATATTTTAAAAGAAAATGGACAGAGTAAGAATAGAGTGTTTGCTTATATTAAAGATAGTCCTCACTTTTTTTTTGTTCGTCCAGTGAAATCGTTTATGGTTTTATTTTAGACAGAACTTCAGCTATGAAGCAGCGTTGTATTTTTTAAAAAATGACAATTTAAATATGTTAACGTATGTCTTGAAAACAAGCTGTATCCGGAAGGATTTTACCTCGTACTCTGTTCAATGGCTGAACAAAGACAATGTTTTAAATAAAGACAAACTGTCTACAAATATTTACATATAGTATGTTGTGTGTTCAAAACTGTAAATCACCAGAAATGTACACGAATGTTGCACTATGTCTTTTGTTTAAGAGGGAGCTATAGCGAGGACATTATCGATTGGATTATAGTTTTCCTTATATACTACATTATTTTGATATAATGCTCCCGTGATACAAGGATGACTTTGTACCAGCAGCAGCGTGATAATTAGAATATAATTAACAATGCAGCCCCGTCTCTTCAATCATGTGTCAAACAGTGTACATGTAGATCATGATATCAACTTGAGTGCAACAAATTGGGTTTCTTAAAACCCCCCACTCACACCCGTGTAAAACAGTTTCAGTTGAGTTTGTCTGAAGTAAGTAAGTAAGTCCCCCCCCCCCCCCGGACCCCCTGCGTTTTCACGTTCAGTTAAGTTCCTTTGCTGGGTGAAGAATGGTCTTTTTTTTCTTTTTCTTTTGCAAATCTCAATACGAAGGTGGAAAAGCAAAGTGAACCTGTGCGCACCTCCACACACACACACACACACACACACAAAAAAGGTAATTTGATCCACGCAATAGCTTGTAGCAGTTTCGGTGCCAAAATTGACAAGCACTTAGCTTAGCTTAGCTTAGCTTTGCTTTGCTTTGCTTCCGTGTGTGTAGATTGCAGGGTTACAGCGCAGGGCTGAGCATTTCTTCAAAAATCACATTGAAATAAAGGCAACAGTTTGGATTCAACGCATCGCATCAGTGCAACAATCTGCACCAAGTGGCTATTTTTTATTTATTCATGCTGTTTACTCACCTCCACCACCCCCCCTCCCTCCCCCCCCCCCCCCCCACCCCCCAAAACATATATATTTCATGTTTTTTAGATAATATATTTCTTACTGTTAGGTTACTTTTGTTTGCTGCCGTTGCAATATTGCAATCCTCTCCGAGTCAGCTATTTGATTCAGCCTCTGCTGTCATGGAGCGTATTTGCTCCTCTTAGTTCTTTTTTGGCACCTTTAACTTTATATTTTTAAGACTCTTCGGTGTTCCTGTGATCCCCCCCCAACCCATCTGCACTACCTTTGCACTCATGCAAGATTCCTTTATTTTGTTGGGAAACATCTTCCATTGTCTCGTCCACTACCTCTTTAATGTCACTCATTTCATTATTAATTATTACACGGCTTCTCCCTAACGTGAACCGGATAGAAGAGCGAGCACAAAAGATTTGCAAAACAATAATAATAATAATAATAATAATAATGCGTTGTGAAAGTAGAATGGAGGTTTGATTAAAGAATCTGGAGCTATGTCAGATTGCAAAACCAACAAAAAAAAACTGTACTTGCAACAAAAAATGTTAGCTGAGAGGGTTCTCATCATTCGCTATTGTGAACGGGTCTTTTCAATAAAGAGTTGCAATTGTCCATCTGGCTGGAATGAATAGCAATGTGGTGTATGTTTGTATATATGCCTGTTTCTATTCTCTCCAAAGTGCTCCAAAATGATGAGCATGTCAGCATCACACATCACTGCAGTTGAAAACACAATCAAATATACGAAGATTTGAATGGGTGAAATGAAAGGCTTTTCAATAACTGAGGGATGGGGGGGGAGGACAAACAGGTAGCAGAAGCCAGAATAAACACACACACACACAAAAAACGCTGAAAGGGTATTAGGAGGGCTCAGCCACCCCCCTATTTTAACATTACAAAACCACTCCACAAAAGACAAACAATTAGACAATGTCTTGACTGGAGCTGCAATCAATGGGACAATGAGTGTTAAATAAGAGGTCTCTCAAAAAAAAAAGATTTGAAACAGTAAAGGGCGGATACTGCAGGCGTTCAACACGAGGATGAAGTTTAGTAATACGAGGCTGGGAAATAAGAATCGTTGGTGCCTCTCGCCATGTGATTTAACACCGATTGACAGTTGCTGTCAGAGAATATGATATCACACATAGCTCAGTGTCCGGACCAGATCTGCCCAGATTAGCACCACAATGCAAAAAGTGCTCTTGTGATCTGTTAACTTTAAGAAACATAATAACACGGTAGGAGTTTCTTTTTTTGGGGGGGGGTATTTGCAAGCAAACGCAAGCACGGAGGACGATCCGGGTTTCAAAGGGGTGGGGGGGGGGGGAGACAAAAAAACAAAAAATCAAAACTGCCCACCAATCCCTGACGCGACGAGCCCTTCAATTCGATTCAAGCAATTCTGGATCATTCATAAATCCTGTCTCCAAAAACTGGGTGGTAGGTTGGCGCAGAGTGGTTGGATTTAGTGTTGTTTTAAATGCAGAACATTACACACCAGAATGGCACAGTTTGCATACACGTTATACTTCAATTATCCACTCCTGCTTGTGATGGTTAAGGCGGGATTCCAGATATGGTCACAGATCACTGTTGTGTTTCCCCTTAAATGTATGTGCTGTGCAACATTTTAACATGACCAAAAATGTCGACATGGAATTGCATGAGTGTTAACACTCGCTGTTACATCCAACCAAATAAGTATTTATCTTTTTGACAGATTGGTCCTTTGTTTCTACATGTGACTCTTGGATAAATTATATCACATCGAGTCATTTGTTAACATACCCATTCGTACCTTTACAGGACCGGCCTTTTTTTCAAAAAAAAACATATAATAGTTTGTTAATCGACTTGACATCGGAATGAACTGATTTCTAACTTTGATGTCACAAAAGAGTCCAAAAAAACCCCGAAGGGAAATAATCCTGTCAAACCAGTTCATCCAGAAATGTCCTTTCTTTCTTTTAATAAAATCGTTAAGCAGACAGGTACAAATAGCACACCTTAGCTTTCATCTCACCAAACACTTACTGCAGACGCTCACATTTCAATAAGGTGTTCCTTCAAAATCCATTCACCATCTCTTTTTCCGGCTGAGTGACTTGGTTGATGTAGTAGTGTAGAGAGTGTAAGGAAGTTGGATCAATTAATCTATACGCTGGTAGTTTGGGGGAAAGTCATCTAAGTGGGTAAGAGTGCAAGTCAAAGAAGGACACAAAAGGATAAGGAAGGGGAAGCGAAATACAAATAAAAACGAGCAGAACACAAAAGAACTTCCAAAAACAGGAGATGGGAATGTAGACGCAATAAAAAAGGGGGTCATTGAAAGGAAAGAACGCAGGGAAAACAACACAGAACACAGATGTGTTGGGGTTTTTTTAAAAAAAAATTAAAACGCGCAAAATGCTTGTTTCATTCGCATTCGCTTAAATGGAATAGCAGAGGGAGCGCTCCAGAAAGCTCCAGAAAAACTACATCGAAAAACAGTCCTCACTGACCAGTCTTCAACGCACAACAGCTAAGGGTTTAACGTCAAACCAACTCAGGGCTGTGAACCCTACCTGGGCTGGACCAGGTCACACAATAAACTTTCCTATTAAAAATATCAAAGCATGAGATTAAAATTAGAACAGAAACTCCACCGTAAAATGTGAACGTCAAATGAACGCAATCGGTGAACCCAAATTCCACGAAACATATCTCTGGGGCCACTCAAAGGACACACACACGAGCAAATGTGGAAGTATCCCGGGCTAATAATGCACTATTTTATCACACTCTCTGAATTATTTTTTTTTGGGGGGGGAAAAAGTTTTCCAGAGCTGTGATTGAAGTTATCGCAGAACAAGCACGTCACTCACAGGGTATTTTGTCTAACTGACTCTACTGTTTTTTTAAGGCTCTAATCTTCACGATGAAAGTCTAAAAAAAAGTTTTTTTTTGTTTTTTTTTGGGGGGGGGGGGGGGGGGGGGGCGGGGGCTGATAACAACGGTTGATAGAAATCTGATCTGGTCCCAATCCCAATAATAGTGTTCTTTTTTGAGAGGGGAAAAAAAAAGAGATGGTTATTGATGCAGAGCGTGATGTCTGCATAGCGTGCAAGTCACCTCACTAACACAGCAATTTTTTTTTGTGTGTGTGTGTGTGTGTATGTGTGTGTTGTCTGTGTAACAAAGCGAAGCAATGGGGAGCAAACCAGGCGTTAGAGAGAGGGGGGATGAGATGTAAGGCGATGCCGTGACTGGGAGGCAGACGAGAGACTGAAGTGGTCTTCAATCGCTGTGCAGCTAATGATAGCATTGACGCCTTTCTGCGCTGCCACTGCGTTCAGCCCCAATCTGTCAAAAGTTTTCATTCCAACTTCACTTCGGCACTTGTTTACACTCAGCGACTGACATCCAATACGCATTTAGGCAGTGTTTTAAAACGCACAGCAGAGAGCACTGGAGAAAGTATTGGCCAGGAATCGAAACCCGTCTTAAAATTTCCATCTAATGCAGAAACTCGGGAGAGTTTCATTAAAACATTCTTTTATTTGTTCTCTATTGTTTTCTGTTTTTTTTTTGTTTTGCTACTCTCCTTTCTTAATGCCTTTTGTTTGGTTTCTCTTTTTTACTTGTCCCAAATGTTCTCTCCTTCCATTTTTCCTTTTACATATTTTTTTTTCTCAAATACAGTTCTATTTTAAGACTAATCTGGTTTCCTCGACTTCCAGGACTTTTGTTTAATCCCTTCCATATGCCTTTGTCGTTAGACAGGTGATCAAGTCTTTACTTTCGCGAATATTTATTTGAAGAGGCTTTTAGGTCAAAGATGACTATTAGAGTTTCAAAGCAAACGCAACACAACATTACAACAATTCTTCTCAGATATGCAAATACCTCGGTATAATTACAAGCAACCTAGTAATTTCTAAGCAAATACCACGACTGTATCAAACAGTTGACTTAAAGGGGGTAAGATAAATATATACTGAAGGGTGCACCACTTAATAAGAGAGTCACGGAATTAATAATTACAGACGCGAGAGACGAGATTAATTCCAAGTAAAATATGAAAACAATTGGGATGTGGTAAAACGTGGAATGAGGTTGGAATTTTTGCTCTGGGGTTCTGTCGTGTCACGGTGGTGGGTTTGGGATTAGCACACTGAGGTGTAATGGTATTACTGCCCTAATTAAAATTTTCATTTCACATCCAGATTGTT